TCAAAATGTAACCAATCCTTTAAACAGACTTATTCAGAAGAGATATAGTATCGATAATGTTGTCAGGTCATTAAAGATGGCATATTTTGGAACTAATATTGATTCACTCATAGGGTCTTTGCATCGGAAATAAACACATTTATTCTAAAACCAGTTGATTGCATGATAAGGATTATGATCTTCTCATATATTTTATGGTATGATACTTAACCCCTAACGGGAGGAAATGTGCTTGATTTTGAAATGATGAAGACAGTATCTTTCAATCAGTTTAAATGAGGTCTGGAGTTGGCATATCAGAAACTGCTAGTAGTCCTTTGTTAATTTATGTATCATTGTCATTTTGCTTAGTTTCTTCTGTTACCTATTCTGACATCAGACTAAGAACTCTTTTTAACTGCGTTTTACTGTGCATATTGCTGTGTGTTCGTTTATTCTACATTGGCTAGAGGTATAAGGGGAGGGTTGAGATCTCACAAAACATGATTAACCCAGCCGCATTGTCTGTCCCAAGTCAGGAGCCTCTCGCTTTTGTTAGTCTTGTATGTTTTTTAATTTTAGTTCATTTATATGTTTTGGAGTTTGATGTGGCGTCTATTCACTGAACTAGTACACATTTTTGTTTTGGGGCCAGCTGAAGCCCTTCTACCTGGTGCATGATTTTCTCGCTGTGTTGAAGACCCATTGGTGGCCTTATGCTGTTTTCTGCTCTTTGATCGGGTTGTTATCTCTTTGACACATTCCCCATTTCCATTCTCAATTTTACGTAAAATAATGCTGAGTCACTTCCTAAGGCTTCTTTGATATAACTAGTAGAAAATTAAAGTGATTTTTATATCCTTAATGCGTATATCTGATGTCACAATCCTTTTCTTCCTGTTTCTAAGAAAAATGACATAAATGATCTTAATTATATGAAGCAAATAATACTATTCAACACATAAGATAAATCTTGTTTCGTATTTAGGATGCAACTAAGCAGTGGGAAATCTAGTGTCAAATATTACCTCTCCTTGTAAATACTGAAAACTAGATCTTTTCAATGTTTGTCCCATTTTAGCAAGGACACTATCGATTATAAATGCACGGGAAAACGGGCTGGTTAATAGTAAAAATAGAAATAAGTTGAGATAAAAACAAAACTTCCATTTAATATTATCATTTCCCTTCTTAAATAGCAAACGAGTACAGCAGTGTATAGGAACTTGATGTAAAATTGGTTTAAAATGTTGCTTTGCTAATAAATTCCTGGAGTACCAACTTCAATTTATTTTACTGCTTGCTGTATACCTCCCTGGAACATGCTTATTATCTGTATATATATGCAGCTAGATCAGAGTAAGTCAGGGAAAAAATTCCAAAGGAATCGATTCATATGCAGCAAAGATTAACACTATTGAAATTTAATTAAAAAGAAAATTCAAACGGACCTTATCCCAATAAGGTGAGGTGCAATGTAAACATCGAATGTGAATAGATCGTGAAGACCGCAAATACATGTACAAAAATCGAGACGACGTTTTCTTAAAATTGTATAACAAATAGTAAAAAGATACCTACTTTTCTTTAATTTTTTAACTTGCATAGAACAGACTTTTAAATTGTTATATTCACGAAAAGACAATATTTTTATATTGAATGTTCATTTGACAAGAGCAGACAGGTGTACTCGAAAACTCAGATGTGAAAAATAAGTATATTTTGGAAAATTGTAGCATTCTAAAGACTTTTTGGAACACATAATCGCAAAATTGGTGACCCCAAAGATCTTTAGATTTTGTATGTACATTTTTTTTCCAATTTTGTTTAATCATTATGCAGTAAAGATTAAATTTTTTTTAGATTTCAGTTTCACAAGCTCCTAATGCAGTTATCTCGATAAATACTGAATATAAAACATCGTGTATTTGCATGTATATTTATAATAACACAGTTTAACAAATATTTTCTTAAAAATGCACAGTTATTATTAAGTAATAACTTTTGATTAGTGTCGTCACCGGCATTGTTTTATCATTGATTTTCTCGACTCCATCATATGAAGAGTGAATTTTCTTTTGTTCTCGTTCACTTGATTTCCCACTGTAAGAGGTCAAAGACTGCATACAATATTTATTTAACATATGATTTTATTATTACTTTACTTTTAGTTGAAAAGGCTATAAATTTTAACCGTAATGGAAGACACGGATTATAATTACCTGTGGAATATATTGCTACAGTTGCTGCAAAGGAAAACATATGAGTTAGAAAGCCAGCAAAACCAGCAAAAGAAACGGTACCGGGAACCAGAACCACCTAAACTCGTTCTGTCTATCATTGGTGATTCGAAAAGCTTTGTACCAAAACCATGGATAACAGCAGTATTCAAACAAGGACTCATAGAAACCGCAAAAGGCGCAAAAGGTATATTTCAGCTTGTTGATTTTAATAGAAAAAAAAGACAAGCTTTATAAAATCTTGATAAAACAACTCCCTTCACGCACTTGTCAATACCAAAATAAATGGAACAGCGCATTCATTGTTCTTCATCTAAAAGTATATTTCAGCAAAGCATTAGACGCAGTTAAACGTTCACACGTCACTACAAGTTTAGTAGGGGTATATATTTTTATGCGATATTTTCATTGTTGACAAGGAGCAATTTCGTTTAATATGACTCGTTTTCGGTCTATTTATATAGATATATATTTTTTAAGGTTTGTTTTCAGGAATTCCAATATGAAGAATAATCCTTAGGAACGTTTTTAATGCCAATGATAATATTCATAGCCGTACCGTAGCAATAGATGCAAACTAAAACTATCATTTTTATTTCAAAATTTACAGCTTCCACCAACATTGGATATATATCCCTGGAAAAAAGTATCGCACCAACCTGATTTTTCTCACAAAGAGTATATCTATTGATAAAAATATTTGAGTTTTCGTATAATCTGTTGAAATATTTCAAAATTGCTCATCAGTTACTGTACTGTTATAACTATTCATTTAGATATTGCAAGAAAAATATCAACCTTAATTCCAATATGTAGCTCAGTCAGAACAGTCAGAATTTGATGCGACTGTCATACAAGTGAGAGGTTTAGCTAGATATAAAACCAGGTTCAATCCACCATTTTCTACATAAGAAAATGCCTGTACCAAGTCAGGAATATGACAGTTGTTATCCATTCGTTTGATGTGTTTGAACTTTTGATTTTGCCATTTGATTGGGGACTTTCCTTTTTGAATTTTCCTCGGAGTTCAGTATTTTTGTGATTTTACTTTTTTCAGAACAATCTAGTGTCAACTTAACCAATGTGATTCACAACCTTGGTTACAGAGCAATTTTCCAAGTGTATTGCTTGATTAAAATGTTATAGATAAACATGCAAATAAACATGATTACACATGAAAACAAATAGTTATGACATAAATCTTTCATTTTACAGAACACATTTTAAAACGGTCAATCACTGAGATCAAAGTATATCAAATATCATCAAAGTATATGATTAAAAGTTTAACTTAATTTACATTTTGGTTACATATTATTATATTTTGTAGACTGTTTGATTCTCTACAAAGGTTCATCGGAAAAGGTTAGCTCTATCGTGAGAGAAGCAGTTGAGGATTTTAATAGACTGCAATTAAAGGGTGACGATGTGTTTATAAGTCTAGTGGGAATTTTTCCGGAAGAAAAAAGGTGTAAAACCAGCATCCATCTTCATGAAGAATACGAAAATCAATACGGATGGGTAGGATTATCTCATTTATACTGTAGCAATCAATTTTCTGTAAATGTGGTACCATTAGTATTCTGCAATCAGTCAATATATTATGTTTTACTACGAAAATATTAAAAATCATGTTGCCTTATAGACAAATGGTTAAAATGCCTATCGGGAAGTCACAATCATGTATCTTTAACAAATTTTACAGCTTGTCGAAAATACTGATTATATATCTCAAAACCGAAAAGTGGTACCATGTTGACTGACAATTTTTATACCCACGTATCAATATCGTCATATTTCCCCCATACATTTGTTTTAAGTATTATACCAAAATCTTAAAATATGCATTATGTTTCTGAACCATATCATGTACATGTACATGTATGGTTTCATGATTTGGAGCAAACAGTTGTATGCTTATGAATTTTAGTAATAAAACCAACAATAATGTAATAATAATACAAATTATACTTCCCATACGTGATTTGTTGTTTTTTGTATATATGATCTTCATTCAGTCTATAGCTAAAGATCTTATTTCTTATATTATCCAGGTTTATGTAACACTGCCGCCACAATTAAAAAACACCAAAAACTCTAATTTTGTTTCCTGTTTTAAAAATGATTTAATACAATCATTCAGTGCTGCCTTTTCTCTGTATGAAATTTGTTAATTCGAATTGAATTCTCCTGTAATAGCCTTCCACAGGTTCTCGCGAGACCAAATGATTGGAAGCCTGAATATTAACTAGAACAGAACAACTAGGAATTCCTAAAGAGAACAGTCAGAACAATATAGTGTCAACTTATATTGTTTCCTGTTTTAAAAATGATTTAATACAATCATTCAGTGCTGCCTTTTCTCTGTATGGAATTTGTTAATTCGAATTGAATTCTCCTGTAATAGCCTTCCACAGGTTCTCGCGAGACCAAATGATTGGAAGCCTGAATATTAACTAGAACAGAACAACTAGGAATTCCTAAAGAGAACAGTCAGAACAATATAGTGTCAACTTAACCAATGTGATTCACAAACTTGGTTACAGAAAAATTTAAAAAACGTCATACAAAATACCATGATTTTTGTTCAAATTTTTGTATCTTAAAAGCAAACCCTTTCAAATACATCTGTAATTATAATATTGCAGAAAGCATAATTCTTTTATTTCGTGTAAATCGTCCCATTCTATCATAAATTGTAATAAAATAAACTATAAAAAAATGTTTTTGACCAAAATTGATCTAATATGTTAACATGTTCATTTATTGTTAGGACTATTGGCAAAAGAAGCACAGCGACTGTCTGCTTGGAGAAATATATAATATTTGGCTAGGGAAAAAGAGGTCATATGCTGAGTTTCATGCTTCCGTAATGAAAGGAATAGTACAAAACAAAATATCTTTCATGACCCTCGAAGACAAGCCGTGTAAGTTTCATTTGATACAGATGCATATCAGTGTTAAGTATGGAACGCCACAGCTGTCTTATGTGGAACTCTGATATTACGTTATGTTGTTCTATTATTACTTGATGATAGTTTGTCTTTACATAATATGGTTTTGACAATACGTAATGATGTTTTGATATAACTCAATATGGAATAGTCATTACATAATGATATTTCGATATTACATGATATGGTTTCGTATTGACTTGATATAGTTTTGTCATTTCTTAATATGGTTCTGTCATTACTCGATGTGGTTTCACCATTATTTGATGTGGTTATGTTATTAGGCAATGTGGTTTTAACATTACTTGATGTGTATGTGACTTGACGTAATGTAGTTGTTTCATTACATGATGAGGTTTTGTTATTTCGTAATAATGATTTGTCAATTCTTTATATGGCTTTAACATTATGTAATGATGTTTCAAAATTTGACGATTTTACACTACATGATGTGTTTGTTTCAGTATTTGATGTGGTCATGTCATTCTTTGATGTGGTTATCCCATTACTACTACGAGGTAAAACCACGTGACCATTTTGGAAAAAATATGTTCTATTTTTAGACCGATTTCCATATGTCGTTTGTGTATTAATGCGCTTTGGTTGAGTACCGCTATTCATTTAGTTAAAGTTCAAATTAAAGTTCAAGTTGTTGTTTATAGTTATTTGGTATGAAAAAGGGGAACGACAGACAAAATTAAGAAAAAAAGTACTGAAACATTTACAATAATTCGGACATAAGGGGGGTATCCCAAAACCACTTGCCGGTTTTTCCTTAGTTCTCAAATGGAAGCAGTATTATAATAAATTCGTAAATGATTCCAAGGAACACTGCTTTATCTTAGCTTGGTCCTGAAAAATAACTCCTATACAAGTTTTATAACAATTCATAGAGGTTTACAAATTATCATGTCAAAATAGTTTAATTCGGTAATATTCAATGCCAAAAAAAAACCTTACATAGAAATAAAAAAAAAACGTGGTACGATTGCCAATGAGACAAATCTTAACCACATACCAGATGACGTAGAAGTTAACATATATGTGTGACTGTATGGTCTTTAAGAATGAGCAAAATTCATACCACATAGTAAGTTTAAAAAGGTCTCGAAATGAAAAATATAAAAACAGTTCAAACTAGAAACCTAACAACCTAAATGATGAAGACGCCGACGATACAACCGACGACGGCATATAGGTTTGTTGTATCTCACTGTCGCTACATTATTGTCGCAGGTACAACACAAATCAAAAGACTTGTACTGTATATTCAACAAATGAGACACTTTAAATCAACTCGAACAAAAAGTTAAAGGGAAATGTGTGTGTGTGTGTGTGTGTGTGTGTGGTGGTGGGGGGGGGGGGGGGGGGGGGTGCTAAGCAACAAAGCATCAATTCTATAAAATAAGAATTCTCCAGGTTTTTTTTTAACGTGGATGTTCATATGAACATATGAATATTAAACTTTTTTTTATTAATTGCAGTTTCTGATATACCACGCACTTATTGTAAAAAAAAACTTTTTGAAATATCTGTGTCACAGGTGACGACGAATAGGTTCCAGTTGTCGTAATCACAATCCCGTCATCTTTTCCTCGAATGTAAACTACCAAAAAAACCAAATCACTGGGTTTGTACTTTCACGAATAACACGACGGGTGCCACAAGTTAAGCAGAATCCGCTTACCCTTCCAAAGCACCCCAGATCACGCTGATGGATTTATGTTACCCAGTCATACTGATCTATTTAGTTGAGCCAATCAAAACTGTCTTTACATTTTCTTCTTATGCTGTGCTATGAAACACTAGGTTAGGATAGGGATTAGCGCTTACATACATGTTAACTCCGCCGCGTGCACTTTCTTTAAATGCCTGCCCCAAGTCAGGAACCTGTAGTTCAATGGTTGTCGTTGTTTCATGTGTGTCATATTTGTTTTTTTACGCCCGTCAAATTTTTGACGGGACGTTTTATGGTATACAAATGTCGTCTGTCCGTCTGTCCGTCTGTCTGTCCGGCGTAAACATGTCGCACCATAACTTGAAAACGACTTATCCAAATTTCATGAAACTTAACATAGTTGTTTCTAATGATGGTCAAACGATCTGCATACTTTTTGGTGAAAATAAGATAAGTATTTTGTAAAAAAAGGGGGAGGGGTTTTTCACATGTCGCGCCGTATCTCAAAAACGATTTATGATTATTGCTTAAAATTTTATACACGTCTTAGTTATATTAATCTAAAGATCTGTATACTTTTTGGTTTTGATTCAAAATTCTATTTTAGAGATATTAATTTTTTGTTTTTTTTAAAAGGGGGGTTTTCACATGTCGCTCCGTATCTCAAAAACAATTTATGATTATTGCTTAAAATTTTACACACTTCTTAGTTATATTAATCTTAAAATCTGTATACTTTTTAATTTTGATTCAAAATTTTATTTTAGAGATATTGAGTTTTTTTTTTTTTAAAAAAGGGGGGGGGGGGTTTCGCATGTCGCGCCGTATGTCAGAAACTATTTATGATTATTGCATAAAAATTCACACACAAGACAACGGGTGTATCATGCGCTCATGGGGCAGCTGTTTATTCGTAGATTGTTTAGCTATAAACTAAACCATCAGTTTTCTCGTTTGAATTGTTTCACATTTTCACGTGGTGGTCTTTTGTAGCCGACTATACGGTGTGTTAAAGGCAGTACGGTTGCCAATGATTGCTTGCATCCACTGCATTTAAACTATGGTGGATAATTTTCTCATTGGCAATCACACCACATCTAACATTATTTCAATTTCTATGTTGTGTTTTGTATGCTGTAAACTTGTTTATCTTTTGTACGCATACCTACCGCTGAACCCTCTTTTCGGAAGCTCGAGCAAAAGCCCTTGATCCACGATAAACAAAATAGAACTCATATTAGATAACTCGAATTTCAACTCTTAATCTTAAATGAGACTCAAATAAGGGTTTACCTCGAACTCTACGCCAAAAGGTGACTCAAATTCAAAGTTGAAGTCCAATTATAATTCGGAACTCTATCTTTAAATGTGACTCAAACTCGAAGTTCAACTCGAAATTTGGTATGTGGTTGAGAGATGTCTCATTGGCAATCATACCACATTTCTTTATTTCTATATAAGGTTTTTTTAATGCATTTAATATTACCGAATTAAACTGTTTTGACATGATAAATTTGTAAACCTCCATGAATTGTTATAAAACTTGTATAGAAGATTATTCTTCAAGATCAAGATAAAAGCATCTACAGAAAAACATGTTTTCCTCCGTTAAGTGTACAGGTTAATGTACAGTCAGTCAACATTTAATTTACGCTTTTACACTGACAGCAGAATTATCCGGCGAGACACATACAGGGTTAATAAGAATCTTTACATTATTTATTAATTTACAGCTTCCATTTGAGAACTAAGGAAAAAACGGCAGGACCAAATGGTTTGGGATATGTCCGAATTACTGTTAATTTTTTAGTACCTTTTTTCTTATATTTGTCTGTCGTTCCTTTTTTTCATACCAAATAAATCTGAACAACAACTTGAACTTTAATTTGAACTTTAACTTAATGGATAGGGGTACTCATCCAAAGCGCATTACACATACAACATATGGAAATCGGTCTAAAAATAGAACATATTTTTTCCAAAATGGTCACGTGGTTTTACCTCGTAGTAGTAATGGGATAACCACATCAAAGAATGACATGACCACATCAAATACTGAAACAAACACATCATGTAGTGTAAAATCGTCAAATTTTGAAACATCATTACGTAATGTTAAAGCCATATAAAGAATTGGCAAATCATCATTACGAAATAACAAAACCACATCATGTAATGAAACAACTACATTACGTCAAGTCACATACACATACACATCAAGTAATGTTAAAACCACATTGCCTAATGACAACACCACATTAAATAATGGTGAAACCACATCGAGTAATGACAAAACCATATTAAGTAATGACAAAACTATATCAAGTCAATACGAAACCATATCATGTAATATCGGAATATCATTAAGTAATGACTTTTCCATATTGAGTTATATCAAAACATCATTACGTAATGTCAAAATCATATTATGTAAAGACAAACTATCCTCAAGTAATAACAGAACAACATAACGTAATATCAGAGTTCCACATAAGACAGCTGTGGCGTTCCATAGTTAAGTGTTATATATTATTATTTCACATTGCGATGAATGTTTTATAGTGTCAGTATTTACAATATAGCTCCTTTTCAACTAATACTATTTGAATAAGATCTGAAAACAATATCAAGTAGAGTTTATAGCAACATGTATTCAACATTTCTTACTGTGTAAAAATGAAAACAGTTAACAGAAAACGATGAATTTCATGTGAGAATATATAGAACACGTTTTATATAAAAAAAATACCAATTGGGGTTTAGAAGTCAAATTTTTTGTTTCGAAAATACTTGAAAAAAGTATTAAACGATGTCACAATGCTATAAAACATTACACAGACATTTGTTAGATGTTTCTTTTTTGGTGGATCATACCACTAAATGGCCACATTTTTACATAACCTTTGTCACTTGCGTCTTACAGCTTTAAATGTACATTCGAATTCTATGTTGTTAAATGAAATTTTCCGGATTGACCCGACGCAACGTATGTCTTCAAATACAATAACATGATAATAATTTGTATAACTGATGAAACTTACAGTTCGGCAGCATATATATATTTTTACATTATATTTTTATAATGAATACATTGTTAATTTATGTACTTATAAGGAATACATTGTTATATTATATAATTAAAAAGAAAACATTGTTAATTTGTATGATTTTAACGAACGAAAAATTTGTCATGTCATTAGTGCAGTGGAATGTTCCAGTTCTAAGGTGACTTAGATACAAAAAAAAAAGTAAAATAAGGGAAATTCAAAACGGAAAATCCTTTAAAAAATGGCAAAATCAAAAGCTCAAACACATCTAACGAATGGAAAACAACTGTCATATTCCTGACTTGGTACAGGCATTTCCTTATGTAGAAAATAGTGGATTATACCTGGTTTTATAGCTAGCTATAATAGAATGTACACTCGAATTCTATGTTGCATAACGAAATTTTCCGAATTGCCTCGACGCAACGTATGTCTTCAATTACTATACAATGATAAGATTCAACTTTTGTATAACTAATGAGACTCACAGTTGGTCAGCAAACATGTTTTTACATTATATTATTGTAACAAATACATTGTTACATTATATAATTATAACGACAAATTGTTAACTTATGTAATTAAAACAAATAAAAAGGTTTGTTATATTATTAGTGCAGTGGAATGTTCCAGTTCTAACAATAGTAGCAGAAGGTGACTTGGATACAATAGAAGCTGTTAACCACGTTTTGAAGCAAGATTTGCCTATACTGATTATAAAAGGTTCGGGAAAAGCATCTGACTTTATTGCTGAATTCATTGAAAAGTAAGATATTATATCTTGATATTTACATTAAAAAAGAAATAATCAGTATTGACTCTCTTGTAAATGTTTACGGTAACATTGCTCTACATTGTACAACATTCATTCGAATACCACATTCAACACATATCGTTTTTATCAGCTTTGATCCGTAAACCAATATATATCGGAAGTTTGTCACATACTTTAAGTGAAATAATAATGCTATCATTCATCTTAAGAAAGATAAGGTACACACTAGTTAGGGTTGATTTGGTCGTGTCAACTCACTGAAAACAATACAGTGTTTTACGTCATTAACCATAAAAAGATAGGCGTTTCAGAAATATGAAGATTCGAGATGTAACAATTTGACTTCGACGACTTTAAAGTGGCGCTGTAGGCGAGATTTGTCAGATTTTTTGCTAAAATAAGATAATTCTGAGAACAAATTGGCTAAATCAACATAGTGCACAAGCTTCGACCAAAATATGTTTTTGCCAGTGAATAACTAAACACAAAGTACTTTTTAAATATCTTTTTGGGTGACGGTTGTGTTCTATATTGTTTGTAAGCGTGTACCGGTCAAATAGTCCAGATTTTGTACAATACTGCCATTTTAAATTAATTTATTGCCATTTCATGGCTGTTTATCTTATGAAATGGTTATATTTTTAATTGATTTTGAAATTATGGAAAAGTTTGAAGGACCAATTTGACTAAAAATCGTACCTTGTCCTTACAAAATGATAAACATATTAAAATATTCTTTCAGCGATACCATTAATATATCCGAATATATCAAGTACAAAACACCACTGTTATTTGGTATTTCTTCTCATGACCTTATGACACGAGAATTTAACAGCAAAGGTTCTGGTTCACCGAAGCATCAACGAAATGACCTTGAGTCAAACATGAAAGCAATACAACAAAATAAATGCTTGGTAAGTTGTGAATAGAAAGATGAAATTTCATGTTAAAAGACATTAAAGATAAATCGTGATTAAACTGTATTGAGTCTCATGGTCAAAGCTAAAAAGTACAGGGCAATGCGTCGAATTAAGAAAACATGCTTTTGATCATATAGCTACTCAATATGTCTGGTTTGGTTGTTGTGGCAAGACTCTTATTTAATTTATTATTTGACTTTCAATACGATATTATTTTATTTTGTTGGTACTTATGTTTCATCATTATTTGTATTGACTTGGGTGTTTCCATGGGCTTTTTAACGTATAAAGATATGGTTTCAATGAGTTCAGTGTATTTTTTTCTCATCGTAAGGAGATATTCTACCAAATCAATTCATTCAGTTATGTTTTAAGTTTGTTCTTTAAACCGTACGTACACAGATGAAATATAACTTGAACACTGTCGATTACAGTCCTCAGTTGAAATCCAGACACATATATAATGTATATTGTTATTGCTGAAGTGTCCTCTTGTTCGAGCAATCATGTATAACTGTAAAATCCACAACTATGTTAGAAAGGTAGAATGAATTAATCCATTTATCATGATAGATAACGATTATTGATATAAATAAACAAACACAGCCAAAAGAGTTTACAGACGCAGTAACAGGAGCGATCATAAGCGGATGGTCCCGAAACAAATCTGACGAAGACAATCAGATTTATAGCTTCTTAGAAAACCACCAAAATAAACGAGGTATAGTATTTCGAGTTTTGGTATTATCATTGTAATATATATTCAATTTCTGTAAAGTTTTCCCTCTCCTCCAATGTTGTGTTTTTATATCAAGTATGTTTTTTTGTACATCTCCCAAGCATATTTGAGTAATTTATATTAAACTAAGATTTTTGCTTAAATGCAACAACAAATAAAAATTAATTGCCATGAAGTCGACCAAAAAGGACTAAACCCTAAACAAATGGTCGCAGAAAATAGGTTGGTCTTCAGTACCACACAATTTAAGATTTCTATATCATCTTCGACCATTGCAAACATATGTCATAAAAATAATATTTTATCAGAAACTATGATTATCTTGGCTTGGAAGATTACACAGTAATTGCTAGCAACTTCAAGACATTGGTGGTGAAAATAACGTAATGACGCCTGAAATATATTAGGAACATCGGAAGCAGGTTGAATTTAAAAGTTACTAAATATACTACTATCAATTGAATCAATCATTAACTATCTTTTAAGGTTTGAAATATTACGGAACAGCTAAGGCCATTCATTTTGAATAAAGGTGTTGATTAAAGTTTTCTCAATAAATATTTTATAGTACAAAGCTATTATCATGCTTGTATCAATGACGACCAATTTTCGCTACCAGTTGAACCAAATATGAAAGAAAGAGACCACCCAACAGCCGTATCTATAAATGCTATGATCGGAACATTGCAAGCTGATAATCGGAAATTTATGGACTCCTATAAGGAAATACTGACTCCATCCTCTTTACCACTGTATTATTACATTGCATACCAGTTTATACAAGAAATGCAAGGAGAGAAAAAGGTTATAATAGAGGTATAGTATTTTTGCATCAATTTCATGTTAACAAATGCACAATATATTGCAACATACGAGTGTCATTGCAATGTGTTTATACACAAGAATTTACATAAGACAATATATAGTGGTAAAACATTAAAATTATAATGTAACAATTATCAGAGTTGTCATTCTTCTTGCAACAAATCTGTTGATTATGGTTGTGCAATGTTTCTGACTTACAGTTAGTGTTTAACAGTTGAAACATGAGATAAAACAATTCCGTGAAAGCGCTTTTTACAAAGCATAGTCGCAGTTTTTGATATTGATATAATACTTTTTTTTTAGAGTTTCGACTTAACTGTTTGTTTGAATTTGAAATAAAAGACTTTATTCAGTTACACATGCTACGCGTATATCTTTTTTTTTTGCGCCCTTTGTTTTCCCGTACTTTACCTTATTTGCAATGGTCATTACCAAATAATTCAAGAATCATTTTTCTGTTACTTCAATTGGGTAGTATGCTTATCTTATTTCAAATATGAGACAGACAAACATAACTAGTAAATATACATGTTTGCACCCTAATCCGTCAATTATCAAGACAGATCTGCCTTCTTTGTATCAACAATATATATGTGGAGTATAGAGCCTAACTAAAGTTTGTGAGGTAGACGAATTTTGACATTTTAACACCTATTGCTGTCAAAGAGCGTGAGATTCAAAAACAATGATCTGTCCTTTTAATAATAAATGCAAGGGGTAAAATTAGTAGGGATGAAATGTCAGATATCTTAAGATAACTACAAAACAAAATCGTACGAACACATTCAACCAAACTTTTTGATAAATTTAACGAAACGAGCTTAATCTGTCTTTGCATGGTTTTCCGACAGTATGTGCGTCAAAAGTCATCAAAATGTTTTCACAACACACTGAAAATTCGTCTTTTCAAAATATTGCCTTTTTTAACTGATATTTTTATTTTGAAATACTATTAGACCACTTGATCGTTTATAAACCTACTTCATCCTCTCTGTGCAAATATTTTGTTTGGCACCATAGTAATTAGTTTTGATCATAGCTGATATTTGCTTTCATCTTTAGAACATACTATGTGTAACAGTTAAAGCTGAAGTCTTCCAAACGATATCAAAACAAATATATACCAGAAGGTCTGCCATTTTAACTTGACCGATGTCGAATTCCATAGATATAGTCTAGATTAGTTAGCAATAGGTCTAGAGCATCAATTAAAGTTTAACATTTTTTTTCGAAATGATGATAAAGAAGCGGGACATTAAAAATTCATAATTTAAAGATAAACTGACAACGCCATGGCAAAAACAAAAAATGAAAAGAACAAGTCCATACAATTCTACATACACAACATGAACTCAAACAAAAAACCATGGGAAAAAGGAAGGTGAACTCATGTACTTTGTAAGCAGTTTTTGTTCCACATGTGGAAACCGTTGTGCTGTTCATACGAGTACAAATCCTGAGACAAGTCTTATTTGTTATATGCTACACAGGGAGCAAGATTTGCCTGTTCTTCTGGCGCACCTGAGCTAACCTTGGTATTAGGTGGGGTTCGTGTTGCTCATTATTCAGTTTCCTATGTTGTGTTTTGTATACCCTTGTGTTTTTGTCTATTTCTTTTTTAGCCATGGCGTTGTCAGTTTATTTTCGACTTATGAGTTAAATATCCCTTTTAAAAATAGACGAAATTATGGTTACGACAATTGCAACATATCTGTTGTCATCTTTGACACAGATATCCCATAACGGCCAATCAACTCGTGATGGTGTCCGTATAACTCTCGTAGAGATAATTTCAACTTTACCAGTTGTAGCCCTTGGTTTGATAACTTCGTTAAACACTATACCCAGGAAATAATGATAGGACACGCAAGCTCTAGAATATCATATTAACCTGGACATATATATACTCCGTATCCAAGCGGATACTCTTGAGGGATAAATTCATGGATATTGACTAAACCCTTAGAATAAGACAGTGTGTTGACATGAAATTGAACTTGTGCCTGGTAATGTGTTTTTGGTAAAATATCGTAATTTCTTATTGAAAAAAAAAATATTGCATTCTTTATTTTATTAGAATTTCAATATGCTCTTGAAAGCAGCTATTGTAGCTGACAGAGATGAATATGTGTCGGTATTATTAGAAGAAGAAGGTGTAGAGTTTGCTGATAAATACTTTCCGGATATTTATATGGTATATTTTAAGCAATTACATGTTTTTATTTTGTTTGTGGTATGTTTTAACAGTTGCATGTTCACGATTTATTAAAGAGTTATATTGTTCTATCCATTAAATTATTCCAGATTTTGTTATGTCGGGACATTTTCAGCTTACTATTACAGAGTTTTTATTGGTTTGAGCAACACAATATATGTATATATACGCAAACGAAAGTTTGTAAAATATAGAAGAGAGAAAATACTAAGATATTTAACGACAGGAGAGAATAAAATACTAAAGAGTCAATACATAATCATAAGTTGAAGAACAAACATCACCATGGCAAAAAGAAAAAAAACCCCATCAACACTACAAGTCAAATTACTGTCCACAAAACATTACATAAATAAACTAAAGGCTGATCAACAAAAGCCATTAATTAATTACGGGTGGAACTCAGGTGTTCAGGTTATATCTTGGGCATACATAAATGAATACGTGTATTACTATTGACACACTTTAGCCAGAACACTTAAATTGATTTGAATATACATTTTGATTCGCAAAACATGTTCAAAACATTAGATCATTAACCCAGTTATTCTCCACTATAAAATGTTTTTCAATTTCAGGAAACGCTTCAATCTCAACGAAAAGCAAAGACGGCACTTCGCAATGTTTTTAAGGTAAAATAAAATTCTAGGGTTGTAATTGCAAAACTATTGAATAATTGGATTCCCAAGAAATATATGCAGACTTTCGCAAAACCATGAAATTATTCATCCACAAAAATGCAAGTTTTCCTCAATCCAAGATTTTTTTTAAATCCTTAGTAATACATTTGTTATTGGCAATGGAAAATGTTTCGCATTAGAATTTTCTCAAGTATATTAAAAAAAAAAAAAAGGATATTAACTCCAATGGAAAAAATTCCTGTATGTATGATACATTAGTAGAGTATAAGTTGAATGGCTGATTTGGACGCCTCAACTATGTTTTTGGTCAAACGCATGCATAGATAGCACGAAATATAATACAACATACCTTGTATAACAGATTTCAAAATATGTAAATCAATTATATTTTAAGTGGGGTACCTCTCCAGTTATTGAGCAATTTAAGGAGTTATGCTTTCCCACAAAAGTAAAAAAGGACAAACAAGTTAATGAACTCTCAACAATTGAAGTGTGTATGATCGCAGGTCGACAGATTTGTCAGGCTTTGTTGGGATATCCTAGAGGTAAGCTAAAGTCTATCATGCTACTGTGATCTTTTATCGAGTTAAATACAAAAGTTTTGCGTATTTCCTCATAAGTATATCCTAACAGGAGTGGGATTGAGAAGGTATATGGGGTAAAAATACTATGTGCATTTATTATTGAGATTTTTGAAGAATGGACCGAAATGCTATATTAATTATTGCGATTTCTGAAAAAGCGGCATACAGATATATGTATCAGATATTAGAATGTCAGTTCTTATTATTGCGATACTTACCCAGTCGCATAATCGCATTAATAAAACACTCACAATAATTTCTGAAGTTACAGTTACAAATACATATATATTCCCTGACAATGAAATATAAACACACTATTTAGTAAGTAAATATTAAAATTTTGAAAATATTTACAATGCGATAAAAGAATAAACGAGATATTTCGCTAAACAACTAGTATCTTTGCATGTGAAATCGGATGCAGATAAGAAACTTTTGCAGCTCATTGTACATTTCGGGCAATAAGATCCAATTGTACGGCGTTTATAATTATATGAAGACTTTTTGTTTTGGATTGTCAAAATCTGTTATTGAAGTATGGTAAGTTTGTGAAGTCCATTGATAAATTTTTGCAAGATATAAAGGACGATGCAACATAATAAAAATCAATCTTTATTCTTCCGTTACTTTTTTTCGTCTTTTCAATTTAGACCATCAGGTACTTTAGTATGTAGCTGGTGGATCCAAAAGTTTTTCCTTCTCAATGCGGCATCCCACTCAGTGTTAACTTCTTAATTTAAAAAAAAACAAGACTTATGAATTAGATGTTTCTTTCAAGATGTCTTGTGAGGGGACTGTTTATCATGTGGCAACGTCCTTAATATCTCTGTAATATAAGAAAGTAGGTTGACCAATACACAAATAATCGACACATACAAAAATAAAAAGCTATTTTACGTAGTTTTTCGGATTGAACAATTTTCATTTTATGTAAAATATAACTGAAATACAAATACAAAAAGTTCGTGTGCCTTAGGGTAACATTTGATGAGAAAATGATCATCGATCATCAATCCATTTTCTGATATGAAAACGTTTTATAATTTCCGTGAATACAAAATGGTACATATTTGATAAAACATCAACAAATTGTTCATTTTTCGTATTCAAAATTGATGAATTGATGAGTTTATTGATGAAGGGACGCTAAATTGTACTATATCAGCTTAAAACTTTTGCACGCAGCATCTTAGCGGTCGTAATCCTCTGTACACTTATATATATATCTAACATTGTTGGGATGTTATTTTGACGAATTATATATTTCATATATATATTTATATGCTAATTGCCTAACAATGTTATTTTAACACACTATTTAGTAAGTAAATGTTAAAATATTTACAATGCGATAAAAAATAAACGCAATATTTTGCTAGACAAACTAGCTTCGTCAAGCGTGCATCTATCCAGGTGAAATCGGATGCATATAAGAAACTTTTGCAGCTCATGGTACAGTGAATTTTTGCTGCTGGTCAGGATTATAGTTTATTCATGTCAAGTATTTCATTATTTGAAACAAGGGTAAATTCTACAAAAATGTTTGACAACTGCCAATTTAACAATACCAATAAGGGAAAACAAAAGTGGTATTACCCTTGAAAACATAATCGTGATTAATTACATATAATGTGACTTTGAAGCTTAATTTAATTAACTTCGAAATTAAAGCCTTACTGAGCGGAATGAAAAGGGAAAGCGGTTATTAAATATTTGCAATTTTTTTATAGGTATGTTTTATTAGTATATCTGTCTATAAAACTTTTCAGTAGCGTATCAGAAAGTAAGAGGAAACAATAAATTTTGGGAAGCGAAAAATGTGATTGATATAATAAAGGAAACATTTTTGCAAAGTGAGGAATTTAATCCTTTGCATCACAACTACTATTTCAATAGAATGGAATACAAATGTCATATACCTAGCTCGGCCAAGGGGTTTCTTAAAATTAAAGTGAAGATTACTATTCCGCTTTTCTATGTGTGTGAGTTATCTTCTCAATTCGAAGCATAACTTTTTTCAAACAAGTATTCTAGCACTGAACATGAAAATTCCTTAAGTCTTAGCACAAACTGTAGATGTAGTGGTGAATATATACCTTTCAGTGTTAAGCCTATACTAAAAGATAGTTTACATTTGTCTAAAACAGATAACTCTCTGAACAGAAAAGAAAAATGGTCCGCATATCAAGATCTTCTGATATGGGCAATTTTTGTAAACAGACCAAAACTAGCCACAATATTCTGGATGAAATGCGAACAACCGCTATGTAAGTATTAAATATTGGTTAATATACATAATAAGTAATAGCTGGTAATTAGAACGTTGGTAATATCAGGAAAAAAGCATATCCTAGTTTATAACTTATGTACTTGTATTTAATCTTTAATTGAAGATTTTATATAAAAAAAAGAAAATGCCAACTACAAGGGAGTAGTGCAATAATGAGATATAAAAACAATACGCAATGAACGGCACGAAACTAAAGAGACAATTGACAAATGAAAAAAAAAGTAGAATGACATAGACAGACGAAATATATGCGTTTGATAGATTTCGAAGCTTTCACACCACAAACAAATGTCAAATGAGTCATTCAAAGGCAGGAACAAATCAATTTTATGGATGGCAGGGCTGAACATTTACATCTTTTGCTAGTTGAAGTTAAAGTTGAGCATAATATGTCGTCCAAAATTTGCATTTTTTAGGAACATGGATGTCGTAATAACTTATTTTCATGAGATATAATATGCACAGCATGCAAGGAGCACATCTGGATACACAAAACTTTCTAAACAAGATAATTTTGCAGTAACTTGAATAGATTGGAGACTGTGTTTGTGTACATAGCTTTATAAATTTTTGCGAGCTATACTGAAGCAAGCTGCAATGTTCTTGACCAAAATGTATAATAATGTATAGCAAACAAAAGAGCCTTTGATTCGATCTGTTGTTTTACCTATTCCGGAATTTACACACATGTTTTAGTGTTTATTATAAGTTTTTTTTAAACAATCAGTTATTATAGCACATAATATTCCCCCTGACCTTTCCCTGGTTCAGTTGAAATGGTCACTCCTTTCAACTTTCCTCACATTACATCTACACAAGCCCTACTGATTGATGGTTTTATTGAATCTCATAATGAAAATGCATGTAATATTAAACCGAACTAACTGATGGTGTTATTCAAAAAAATATTTTTTTTAGAAAATATTATATTTGTCTGTCGCTTGATAATCCTAAGTCATATCTTTGGCTTCATTTTGTTTCGTTTTGTCGATTTCGATTGGTTTTGACAATTTTTCGTTCATGTATGAAGTCAGCCTCATATGAATAAAGGAACAAGTCGGCAGGAAGAGAAGCACATTTGGTTCCCATGGGAACGCCGATTGTTTGGTGAAAAACATGTCCTCCAAACGTAACAAATATGTACAACAAAAGACGAACAGTACAATCTTAATGAGAAACCGCAAGTGGGATCTTTTAAAATGAGCTTTTATTGTTTTGAAGAAACACACATTAAATTACTTGATGTTATCTGGCCTTTATTTTATGGAATGGCGATAAAATCCACCATATAGTCAAAGCATCGGTACTACAATTATGAACAGGATATATTAAGTTGTATGTTGATAATGTATAATTTTATTAAATCTTATTCATTCCAGGATTATTCTGTTTAACTACGTTTGGTTTTAAAGCTTGTTTCCGTTGTTTGTATTCGGTTTCTTAAGTTAAAGTATGTCTTAAACATATTGGATATACGTCAATAAAACAGCAATCAAACGACACAAAACAAATGTCTTGCATCCTGCAAAACTGTGAATCGCTTCATATGAAGTCACTTCATCTTGCATGATCATGGTAACAATTATTTAATTATCGATTTCAGCTAAATTTTCTATAACCTTTTAAATATTACTGTTCCATAAACTTATGCATTATTGAAATAAATTGATGAAGCTGTAAAAGATTGAAAACATATAATGCATCCATATTTTCAATATTATGTTTCATTACGTATGCATTGTATTATTTTATGCTCATTTAGTGTGCGCATTATTGGCCAGCAGTGTATACAAAAGAATGGCAGCCAGTGCTAATGACCAGGCAACCAAGTCTGACATGATTGCTCAGTCTAGGTATTAATTAAAACATTAAAAATATGAGTATATAATACTGATCTAGAATTGAGCAGCATTTCCTGTAGAGAAGATGTCATTATTATAGTACATTTTAGTTGAACTAGTCTGTTGCTAATATCTTATTCCCGTTATCAGACAGTCTTTCTAACGTGATTTTAAAACAAAAACGACATTGTTTGGCTCTTGACTTGTGGGGCCAACTCCAGATTTGTCATGTGAAATTGACAAGTGTCTAGGAACATTTGAGTCTTTGACAACAAATATCGAATGAGTGGTAATATACTCGTAAAGTGTTTTATCTTTAATGTTTTTATTTTGTTCCTACCAACGCTCTGCTAAAACCGATTAGAAAAAAAATCTATAAGTTATTGTTTTCAAGTTTTGCCAGTCTGGTATCAACGACAAAATCCATTAAAATTTATCAGCTGTTTTATAAATCTTACCACAATACTGTTTAATTGTTATGAACCTCCATGTTTTTTTTTGCAATGATAACACAGAAATAATACTTCGCAACAGATGAGATTCAGGTCAAAAGAAAGAATTCCTCAGATAAATTGTTCTTCGTGAAAGCACGCCAATTGTTGGTATGAAAAATGTAAATGGAAGTACTAACACCCTAGACTGTTCTTGAGTATACTATAGAAAAAAAACCACATTAATGTCTGCTATTTTTACAGGCTCTTTGCAGATAGAGCTTTGGATTTGCAATCGAGATTGTATGATGATGATGCTGAGCTAGCAATGGATTTAGTTATTACAGAACAGATCGTTTGGGACATCACTATAAGTCCAATGCAATGTGCCTATGAACATGATATGCTAGACGTTCTTGCTCAAACGTGTCCTCAACGACGTTTAAATAAAATATGGTATAGCGGAATAAGTTCTAGTCTTGGAGGTTTTTGGAAGGTAAAAATACTTGACTGGTTATATTTAAAAAGGGTCAGTGTGGTAAAAGGTATAATATAATTAATCAAAACTCGACTTACTTCGAGTCTAACGTAATTCTATGTTTAAGAAATGAAACCCTGTTTAGGCTTAAATGACTGAAAGCTAATGTACTAAAATATAGATTTGTGAAAAAAACCCGGCATATACACACATAATTAGATTTTTAAGATTTGAATGACGTTGAAAAAACATAAAATGCGATTTTTTATTAAGACATCATATATATAAACTTCACAGTCATGTTCTCTCTCCATGGTATTACCGTGTTATTGCGATGTTTGCAACTAGATTTGCCCGGCTGTGACCATACTTTTGTCCTTTTTGGTTTATACGCTCTCCTTTTTGTCAATAAGTTTTGGAATTTCAAATATGTCGGACTCGAACATATTTCAAGAGACATTTATTGTCGTGATGCACATCTGGTTCAGTAAATTTGGTACCGTTAATGTTATAAGCAACCCTTGAAAGGCGTCAAAAGAACTGCTGTCGGTTTGTTTGAAGTAGCTGTCTTTTAGAATGAAATCAAATTATTTACACCAACATCTCGGAAACCATGACGGATTTATAATTGAAACTTTTTGAATATTGAATTTTATCAGATGACAATGGCACCAAAGAGACAAAATCTGGTTCATTTGGTTAAATTTGGAACGAGTAGGAACCGTAAATTTTATAAAAAGAAGAGGAGATATGGAGAATTTGATAACATTAAAAATAGACGGGTTAAAGATAATCGTGTGAGAAACAAATCCACAAAAAATGTGCTAACCGTTGCGCACGAAATCGAAGATTTCGGAAAATAAATCAAACCAAAATCTGTAATAACTTGATGTCTTTTTCGAGTCAGTGGTACTTGTAGTGCTTTGGGCACATATATTGTATATCATGTACGAATGAAAATATAAGATCTACTACAACATACAACTGAAATTGATGATACCAACGACATATATATTTTACATCTATAAAATTTTTTCTTCTTCTCTTCAAGATAGTATTTTATTTCATCAGATCCTCTTCAAATGAACTAATCAAAAACCTCTGATGAGTTTACATTTTAGTTAAGAGAGGTTCTTTTTTAAATATCCTATATGCATCATGCTTGTGGAGACTTAGGTATTTGAGCTTGCTAAAAAAAATTGTGTTATATTTTTAATAGAAACAACGATAAAAAATAAGCGGGAAATACAAATGGGAAATTCAAAACTCATAAGTCGAAGAAAAAGTGACAACGCTATGGCCTTAATCGAATAACGACGAAAAGACGAATATGCAGGCGCCGCTGGAATGTGGCTACTTAGAAATTATCAAACTTTTAAGATAAAATAGGATAGTTTAGAGGTAACTGTATTTCACCAAAGATCTAAGTTCCCATTTTTTTTAACATAACCGTTATCAGAACAGTGTTAAGGTGACCAATTATTTTTTTGAATTGCACTATTTAACCATACTTTAGATCTTTTTATAACTTGTGGTGATTTTTTCAAAATGATGTTCATCCATTACTTTTTGTACAGAAAGGCTGTTTAAAAGCGTGGTGTTGTTGCTGTAATGAATGTTCACCGTGTGAAAGGCCAAAGCTTTTTGTCGCTCCTCTTACGAGATTTTTGATACATTACGTAAGTACACACATACATGTTAACCGTACAAATTACAATTTAAAAAGTATTGGTACTTTCGGGGAAGGTTAGTCTATTAGCAGTGAAACCAACTCAGTGATAATAGATAAACTCATTCCAGATGTTCATGTTGTGTTTCTTGCCGATCTGATGATTCAACCGTTTCCAGCTTATTATTTGTTGTTATGTTGTTAGGATTTTCTACCCCAGGAATAGATTACTCTAACTGTATTTGGTAAAACTTTTCGGAATTTTGGATTTTCACTTTATATGTACTTTATTTGGCTTTTTAACCTTTTTTGTTCGAGAGTCACTGATGAGGCTTTTATAGACAAAACGCTCGTCTGTCTTCAAACGTTTGATCGTGGTATCTATGATGAGTTAATTTGATCCCAGAAAAGAAGGGGTTTCCGTTGCTAGAATTTTACAACTCAACAATCAATCAAACGCAAAAAACAAAATTAAAAATTACATACACATAAAATAGGATATATGTATATTGCATATTTATTCTAACACTGTTTTGTTTTTAAACATCTTTCTTGTTTTTTGTCACATATTCATTGGAAAGATCATGCGATATGTCAGAAATGTGTTTCATATGATAGTTCATCTACATATGTCTCTTGAAATATGTTTCAGGGGTTACGTTAACATAAATTTCCTATACCTACGTCATTCAGTCTCTAATGGGATAGTTGTATCAAGTAAATCGAATCTTTTTAACATTAAGACTTAGTAATGTTTTACTTTATATTCCAAACACGTATTCTCTTTCCCTATGATGTTTTAATTTGTTTGAATACTTTTAGGTATTCTTTTTTGGTGCTTTGGTATGTTACAGTACCTTCCTGCTACAAATGGATGTATTCAAAGGAATAGTCTCAATTGGTTTCTACGAGAAAATTATCTATTTGTATCTAGTTGGAGACATCCTCGAGGAGTACAGGAATGCGGTATGATCTGTCAAAGGATAATAATAAATAATCTGTCTACAGCATATCAAAAAAAATATTTTTGCCTCCGGGTTGTTGTAATGTAGTTCTGTTCGCCTGTTTAATTGTCTGTCGTAGAATTTAATGTCTTCCCATGCATCGTTTATTTGTACCTAATTGGAGACATTCCCGAAGACTATAAACATGCATTGGAACGCTTATTATAAACACAAAATATGCAAAAGTATGAGTAGAAGTGCAAAGTAAAAGTTATTATGCTTCATATGTAAATATGCAAATTATCTTTAAGTGAAAACTGGGGTAAAATTGCTGTAAAAATAGTCTTGGTTCAAGATTCACAAATGTTCTGGGATATAAACCGAAATAGGTGTAAGATGCTACTTCTATCAAGCCAAAACTATGACATAACCGGAAAGCGTATAATGTTGATAATGTGAACATGTGCTATCTATAACAGAGCAAATACATCACTAGCGACAAATTAAGACACCGAGACGATCAGGCACGTAGAATTACTGTTCCCTTATTTAGAAAATATACATGCTCAAAGACAATGTGTAATTGGCAACAAACTCGGGATAATGTTTTTTTTGGAAAATAAATATTTTTGTTCCAAAGGAAAGAAATATAAATAGTTTGTCGCACTATTGAGCAATGCTAAAATTAGATGTTTAAAACAATATGAGAAAATTTTGGTATATGTGTGTTTAAAAATACCTGAATCCAAGATCAAAGCTACGTGAAAAATCCAATGCATTGTAAGAAATGATCTAAATCATATTTACATACCTGACTTGCTTTGTTTTGAATTTAAACGATTTTCGTTAGTTTTTCAATCCAAACTTGACATTTAAGTGATTGACCATTAGTCAGTGTTAGTTTGACACAATGTCCAGTGGATGATTAAGGAGAGCTTAAATGGCGCACACTTTGATAGAAAAAATCAAACTTTTTTTCAGAATCGTAAAAGAAAAATTTCGCTTCTCTACGCTCTACAGTATTTTTTATACCAATTTTGACAATTAAGCAGCCACTTTCCTCGTAACCAGGACCGCCCCTAATGTCTGTCTACTCATATTACATATACGTTTGCAAACTTGTATTAAGACAAAGAAATATAATTGCATTTCAACTAAACCATATGCTTGAATGATATTTTAAAGTACATGTATTCTTACAAACAACTTTATATTATTGGGTATTCCATGTGCTCCATGAAATCTCTCTCTAAACCATAAACACCAATTTTAACATCAATCAAAGTCGGGCTTCAGAGTTACTTTGAAACTACCTACTCTGGGAGCATTTTGAATCAGATGCAAAAATTAATAATTAAATTAACAAAAATCTGTTAAGACTACAAAGAATCTAAGTTTCTTTCCTTTTGCAATAGTATAAAACTAAAGACCTTTTTACTTTCTATACAAGTATGCCCAATCCCAAACTTTAAACATTGAAGGTCTTTAAATTTATCAGCAAACATAGCAGGATGTGAATAAGCATTTTCAATTAGTTCAACCTAGTGAGACTACTCTTTTGTTTATTAAAACATTTTGTAAAAGTTTTGATCTGAAGTATGAGCCCAGTTGACAAAAAGGTGAGTCCAGTATCTCCTAATGAAGTCTCTGAATAAACTAGCTTCTTCTGAATGTTATATTGTACCGAGTTTAAAGTATGCAAAGGCATTTTAAAAAGAACGATTAACGTAGATACAAATATCTTGATTTAGGGAGGGACACATAACACTTTGCCAAATTCACTCTGATTCACACAAAAACAAATTGCTTGATTTCGTCATTGACAGCATATTTTTTACATTTGAAGGGCGTTTTTTTAACGCAAACAATCGACTTTTCTATAGAAACCCAACTGTGCTCCTCTTTTTTCCGACGTTTTCCTTTATTCATATGATGCAAAGGTTACACACGAGCTTCTAAGGAAGAATAAACTCAAGTCATCATTATTCTTTAACTTCACCATGGTCACGTTCCGCTATATAATAGTAGAAAATGTTCTCTCACTGAATAATACAAAGTTTCGAGACTTTTTGCAACGCATCTATCTTAAACAACTTGAAATGAAGGGTACAACAGATACATTAAAGTGCGCCTCATATCTTAACTAATATCTAGAAATTGACAATAAGGTTCGGTTGAGAACAAACTTTTACAACAAAAGAGATGATTTTAACTTCCTAATTATGCATTTTCCATTTTAATGTAGCAATATTGCAGCAGCGACTACATATGGAGTATATCACCCAGTTGATAAGATATTCCATAGCTTGCATTTCCTATTATGATTACCTTATAGGGTTTGCTGCTTACATGCAAACTATAAAACGAAGGTCGCCAAACGGTGAAGTTTGTGTTATCCTTCGAAAACTTTACGTAAGCCATCACCAGTTTATTAGCCGTAATTGAATATTTGTGTCACAGATGACCAAAGATATATTCTAATTGTCGTAAATAAAATCCCGTCCTCATTTCCTCGAATGAGACATAACCAGATTTTTATTTGCATGAGAAAGATGACGGTACCACAGGAGAGAATCGGACCACGCTTTCAAAGGACCCTAAATTCTCCCTGTTGTTTGGTGGGGTTCGTGTTGCTCAGTCTTTAGTGTTTTTATCTTGCTCACTGTAGACTGTTGTTGGTCTTATTGTCGTTTTACTTTTTTTTCGATGGAGTTTCCAGTTTGTATTCAATTTATAAGTTTGAATATAATTTTGGTTTCTTCTGCATCTCTTTTAAAACAAGGGATTGCTGTGTCCTGAATTTCAACGTAATTTTACATCGTTATAAGCTGTATTTGCTACTATAAATTGCAGAGGAATACATGCATCTTTTACTTCCTGTCATAAGCATTGAAAACAATATTCTGTTTCGACATGGTAGAAACAAAATTGGTTTGATTGTAGTTGTAGAAAATAAAAAAAATGTGTTCATATATAAACCAACTTAAGAACAGTAACCACCTTCTTTAAAGTTAAATGATTGTTCGATAAAGACAATGCATAGGGAACCGGAATAGACAATTTGAATCAAATGAATCACCTAGTTATCAGATTTTACCGTCATAAATAACGTGTTTTAATTTTTTCAGATTTCGAAAGATGCTAGTTTTGTAACGAAGATGAGTAAACCTACACATGAGAACACATTACGTCATTCACGGTGGTATAGATTGAAGAAATATTTATTCAATTTCTGGAACATTCTAGATGTTCTTTCATATACGTTGACTATCATGGCTATATTTGTACGTTTGTTCAAGTCAACAAAAACAAACAAGACTTGCAGACGTTTTTTCAGCATGAGTCTTTTTGCTATGTACATGAGATTTCTTCATGTTCTTTTGATGTCAAGGAAACTTGGTCCAAAAATCATCATGATCAAAGAAATGGTATGTCATTATAAAGTAATCATTACACTAATCATGACGTTCGTGTGTGTAATATCTCCGAAGAACAACCATCGGGATTAAAGTGTTGTCGGAGTGATTTCATATCGACACATTTATTACCTTAATCTCGCACTCATATAACTTTTGTGCATCCGAAGAGCTTTTCTGGATTTATCTTCATCAGGATCGATGGAGCCTACACATTTGAAATCAAGGATTTGTATAAATACCAAGAAACGTCAGAAGTTAAATGACTAAAATGAACCTCAAAAGAAGTACCAAATTCTTCAATGTCAACTTGTCCGCGGTAACTTATTTTTTTTATTTGCTAATCACATTATGATGCATTTTCAGTTAAAGGATCTCTTTCGTTTCATTGGAATTCTATTTGTATTTATGATTGGTGTTGGAGTACTGTATCATGCAAATATGTACCCAGAACACGAAGATATGTGGAGTTCAGTAAATTGGAAGTACTGGAGAATATGGAAAATCATTAATATTCCATACTGGCAAATATATGGCGACGCTATGTTAGAGAAGTTTGAAGGTAAGCTTTCATTGTACATGTTGTATATATATAAATATGGAAGTCTCCAAAACAAAAATCAAACAAACAACTATAAACAAAATCAAGATATGATCCTTTTACAGAAATCTTTATTTTTATGTTTAAGTTAGCCGAGAGATCATAGAGTAGGGCATATTGCAGGTGTTTATGTTTCAATAGGTTGAGTTAAAATCTCAATGAGGTAAAATAGTGTAGACATGCTGGTTTACAATTTCGGGGATTAAAAACTGAAACTTATTTTACATTTTTGACAGAGGCGTTTTAATTTTAACATTAAATACAAATAAAATATCACGAACTGCAAAATCTGTCATATGCTAGTAGTATTAGTATTAAGATATTAGCTTTACACCCTAACCAAAAATTAATTTGATACAAACGTCTAATACAAAGATATTGACGAGGTTCAAATATTGCTTTTTCGGTATGTTTTTGATCTATATAATGATGCCAATTATCACATTTGATAATGTATTTCATTCAAATATGTCAGTTTTGGTTGGTTAATGAAAGTCATCACATGGATATCACAATCTATATTTCTTCACTGAAGAGTTGCAAAATTACTTCAATTGATTAATAACAAACATAATATGCAAAGGATTGAAGAATCCTTTTTTGTTTATAATTTCACAAATGATAGCAGATATGTTCCTAATGTCGTAACTACAATCCCGTCCCCCCTTTTCCCGAATATAACCTACCGAATTTGACTTATTACCGGGTTTGTACTAACATGAGCAACACGACGGGTGCCACATGTTGAGCAGGATCTGCCTACCCTTCCGGAGCACCTGAGATCACCCCCAGTTTTTGGTGGGGTTCGTGTTGCTCAGTCTTTAGCTTTCTATGTTGTGTTTTGTGTACTACTGTTTGTCTGTTGGTCTTTTTCTTTTTTAGCCATGATGTTGTCAGTTTATTTTCGACTTATGAGTTTAAATTTCCCTCTGGTATCTTTCGCCTCTCTTTTTCAGGGACCAGATAAATGCTTCATTCTACAAAAATGTACCCTGCTTTTAAACGTATCTCACTGACAACAATATGACAGAGCTTTAATTGAAAATCATTATCTTAATTGGTTGTCTACATTGCGTTACTTACTTAAATAAATTTTTAATCTACGTATAGCAACTGATGACATATTTTGCAGTTTTATAACTGACTAAAGAACTGTTTAAGCATACTAAACATTTTTGAAAATGCCCCATAGTCTTATATCTTAAAAATTTAAAAATGAAAATCAAACGAAAATAGATCTGATTTATCGATGATTTAACTAATGTGTCTTTCGGTTACAAAAGTGTATGTTAAAGGATCATATTCAATGTATTCATTATTATTCGTTGGATATCAATTTTTGTAGGTATCGGTAAATCACGAATTCAATTGTTTAACGAAGTAAAATTGAGAACGGAAACGGATAATGCGTCAAAGAGACGACAACCCGATCAAGGAGCAGAAAACAGCCCAAGGCCACCGTTTGACAGTATACATTTTCTATGGGCTTGTATGTCAAACTTGAAAAACAACGAAAAAAAGTTTTTCTTCAATCGACGACAATTGGTATTCTCGAAAATAAATTATTGGTATGAATACTAGAGCAAACATTATAAAAACTTACCAATTATTGGTTTAAAACATCTTTTTCACAAGGTTTAAGGTAATGAACATTCCAAAATCAAATATTTCAGAAAAAAGTAATATGCCATGTACCACAATACAGAGTGTATGGGAGAATAATCCTGACATGGAACGGTGCAATGAGTATGACTGGGTACTGACTGTGATCGCTGCTTTGTATATGTTGATTTCAAATCTCCTCCTTGTCAATCTCCTGATAGCAGTGTTCAGGTTTGTTACGTTTGTATAACGAGCAAGTACAACATTTCACGAAAAAGATTTTCCACATAACGTTTCAATCGTTAAAATTATAATTTGGGGCATTTTTGCTATTTTACTTTGAGTACGTCAAAATAAAAAAGATAAGGAGATGGGATATGGTTGATAATGAAACAACTATCCACCAAAATTCAAATAAAGTGGATGTAAGCAATTATAGGCAACCGTTTGGCCTTCAACAATGAGAAAACCTCATACCGTATAGTCGGCTATAAAAGGCCCCGAAATGACATCAACAATATGAAACAATTCAATTGAGAAAACTAACGGCCTAATTTATAACAAAACAATTTACGAAAAACAAATATGACAGACATTAACTAACGACAACCACTGAACTACAGGCTATTTCAAACTTCTCTACATTTTTGCTGTATATAAACAGAAATCTGAGGCGTATGCTAATTTTTGCAGTTGAATTTTATCTGATTTGAAGACTATGGTGGGTTATGATACTTTTTTAACACAGATAAATAAGGTTTAATTGTAGCTTCTGTAGTCACTGTAAAAAATTAAACATGCACACAGCAGAACAATTCGTCAACCGGATCTAATCTTATTAAATTTGTGCGAGTCGTAATTTGGTAAACATCTTTCAATTGTTAGAAACCAAAATAATCGAAAATCAAAAAAGTAGGTTTAATAAGGTCTTAAAATGGCCCCAATTTCTAGTTATAATTTGAAATTAGAACAACATCACAATGAATCATATCTAACAAAATGACTACATAGAAAATATGCCTTCTTGTTGAAAATTAACGTATATGCGTTCAATTCATGAAGTCACAATTAGCGACTCATTTTGATATTCCCCGACAGTTCAAGGAAAACGGGTAAATTTCTATTCTCTTTTTTAACATGAAACATAGAGTGCATGCGTCAACAAAAACATCTTTACATATAATGTTTGTAACATTTTACATTTTACATATCTGACTTGAATATATAGTTTGTCAAACTGTCAAATTTTGCAAAAATCCTTATTCTTGACCAATTTGGGATGTAAAAAACAACGCTTTAAAATAAAACTTTGACAAAAAAAGTTCTATTTAAATTTCTCACATGTCTTTTCATCAACTTAAAACATTTTTCAACTTGAAACATTTACTAACTTAATAATCGAGGACAAATATGACAATTACCGAACTTACTCTTACTGATAAGTTTTGTTTTTTCTTCGATTTGAAATACTGCTTTAAGTATTTAACGTAAAGATTGATTAGAGATGTCACAGAGAACGCCATTCATTCGATACTTTGACATGTTTATATTTAAAAGTATGACGTTCTCGTAGTATGGGGAAACATTTCTACAAAAGCATTCATTCAAAAACAATTACCCGTATCTTTATGCTATAATTGATGCACTTACCTTCAGCTATCGATTTGGACGGGTCCAGGAAAACTCAGAGAAATTGTGGCGATACATGAGATATGAAGTCATTATGGATTATCGCACTAGAATACCTGCTCCTCTTAACCTTGTGATCAGACCAATATACATCGCATACAAGTGCATCATGTGCATTAAAAATCAAATAAAGAAGGACAAAGAACAAGATGAAAAAGCTGCCTCTTGTGAGTATGGTTTCGGGGATAATTGCCTTTATTCATTGAGTCGACAATTAGGAAATGACAAATCAAGGTCACAAACAGAAATTGAGTGAATCGCACGAACTATAAGAAGAAGCGAGACCGGGTGCGTGGGAAGAATAAGCATCTCCTGTTATTCATGCACTATCCACTATGCGAATACACACTTCACATTCTGTCTAATCTTTTAAAAGTCTACTATTCAAAGGTCGTAGTCGAGGCACAACGTTGCAAATTTGCAGTCTTATTTGCGGGATTCATTTTCAATAATCTATTAAAGGTTTGAAGTTTAAGGTGGCAAGTATCAACAATAATCTCTGCACGTTAAAAACTCATTTAGGCCGCATAGGTTATCTGTCATTATCCAATAACCATCATTTTCTAGTAGCAATCTAAATTTCCAATCATATGCATCCCAGTCGACCTCTTATTGCAAAACCTACCATTTGCATTTATTGTTAATATTTTCTGGTTTTGAACATGCATGAAATATATGCGATAATCAATCAATTAAAAAAAATGTAACTAGGGCACAATGACCTTGTCAGCCCAAGGATGCAGGGATCCATTTTGCCCATAAAAAGTATAATGATGTTAGAAATCCAAGCATATAAAGAGTTGTTCTGGAAATAAAATTGCTACTATTGAAACGTACTACAACTCACATTACTGCTTATATTCCACCAATCATCCGTTTGAAAAGCCCCTAGTATTAATATGTATATATAGTGCCAATTTTGTACAGACGACACGTGTTTCAGAAACAGCCGTCCTAACGTAAACTTGAGGTAAAAGTTTGGAAACTCGAATATATACAACATCTTATGTGCTTTCCTGGTGCTCAGGGTTTCCGATGGCGGTAATCAGTTTTGCAATTTGCAGAAAAATATAAATTGCGGCCATTAAAATTCATTATTGGCAATAGACTTTGACGAAAGAAATATAAAGGTTCGACTTTGTCCATGTTGTTTATTTTTTGGGGTTTTCTCGGACTAGCATTGCTTAACACAGTTTAACTTTAGCAACACACGTATCAGTTCATCTTTGTTAACTACTTTCGGGTTGGGGGTGAAGTAACAAAATCATTGAAGACGTTGAAATGGTTATTTTTAAATGTGCAATTGTCTTGCTTTTTTGAAGCGTCTTTCACTATTATACACTATATTTGAAAAAAATATCTTTGAAAAACCGGGAACAGTTTGAACTGATAGGTGATTGTTATGACAGTCTGTTTAATATCATTTATTTAAGAGTTGTAAAAAGTTTTGAACTAGCTTTTTGTAACAGTGTGTACTCTTAGAATGGTATTTTGTGTCTTTAGTCTTTAAGTTATTTTTTTAGATTTTTTTTTGTCGATTTGCTTTGTCAAGCCTTTGCCAACTGATTTTCAGTGTGTTCTTGTGGTGTGCTGTTACATCTCTGTCACAGGTGAAGGCATGGTTGAGCGCTCAAAAACATATTGAACACCAGGAAATGATGTATGCACCTGTCCTTAGTCAGGAGACTGTAATTCAGTTGATGCTGTTTATAATATATTTTGTTATTGTTTGGAACATTTATCAAGCTGTTAGGTTTCTTTTTTGAATTGTTTAACGTTTTGTTATGCAGTGGCCTTTGATAGCTTACTATATACATTGTTTGATAATTGTCGAAGGTTGCACTTTGTAATTACAGCTGATTCATAAACCACGCCTCTTTTTGGAAGAAATTTAATATTCATAGATATTTTGTTTTGTTTACCTATTGGCTTCCAGATATGATCTCTATGCTTCATCTCGTAGGGACACTTTTGGAATGTTACCAGTATAAATACACAGGAATAGTGGCCAAATTAAATTCCGAGGAAGACCCAAAATGAAGGGAGGTAGTACAGAATTTTAGTATAAGTTCAAACTCTTAGACGTTCGCTGCATATAAATGTTGAAAATATTCATCACAGCCTTATGTTTTGATCTTTGAAAAAAATAGTAGTGCATATAAACTTTCCATTCTAGGATATAATATTTTCAGAAACTTCATAGTAAAAGCGGCACAATTTTAGCCACATAAGGAGTTAATTAAAAGGTTATTAATTTAACTAATTAAAAGGAGATTTATTTTTCACATACAGGTACATGTACTTATCATTTTTTTCTTTTCAGATAAAAGAGAGTTAGATAAGATCAACACTCTCCAATCTTTGAATGCAATTAAATGCGTTCACAATTTTTGAGATGGTAAACAGAAGAAAAATTATATGTAGTGTATTGAAAAGATCATAACGAACTTATATGCAACAAAGAATGTGGAAGATACAGGAAAAACTAGATAGAACGTGTACCATTTAATCATTGATGAGAAAGTGAATATAGTCAATATGATATACATGTACATAGCTTTACACAATCTTGAAATTGTTTTAGATCACTTCGAGACATTTTTCAATTTGCCTTTATGAAGTTTCATATACGATTTGAAATGTATTTATATGATGTTAAAGTTGCAAATCTTTGTTATAACGCTCCTAAATCTTTGAGTAATTGAGAGTTGATTTCTCATGTTTCAATTGTACATCTCCATGCACATTTTATACTCAAATTGCCCTTATTTCTTATCCAGATATTATTCATATAAATAATCATGAAGCATAAAAACTTGTGAGCGAATTGCGTTAAGATAAAAACTGGCTAAGACAGAAAATGCTTTATTTAAAGGTATGATTGGATAGGAATTATGACGCGAAACGACAATGGTGAAAAAGAAAGTATCGAAGGAAGTTAAAGAAATAAAAAAAAAAAACATTTGGCCATATTAACTTTTCAATTTGAGCGTCACTGATGACTCTTTTGTGGACGAAACGCGCGTCTGGCGTACACAAGTTTAATCCTGGTATCTATGATCAGTTTATTTATATAAATTAATCACTGTTTACATGCGGTTGTTTGTGTCAAATCGTTATACGAATTGCCAAACTGAACAATGTAAAAACGCATATTAATATTTCCGTGTACAGAAACGATCGATCGCCAAAGCTCGGAAAGAATAAATGAGATGTTATAGCTATGAGTTACTTCCCTTTTCAATTGTTATATATTAATGGCTTGTTTTTAATTGCTTGCAAATATGTCAGTTTTCATTTGCCATTTTTATATTTCATTTTCAAATATCGCAAAGGAACGACATTTTTGCTTAGTAATATTTTTTCTTTGCTTGTAGCATGTTGTATGGTTCTTATTTTTGTTGGCCATTTTGAAAGAATTTTGTGTGTAACTGTTCTTATAAATCCTTGGCTTTGATTGTTCCTTGAGTGAATGTAGAAAATCGCAATTGTATTTATTTATATTTCTTGTCATTAAAATTTCTGCTTGTATTTATGGTCTCCAGTATCATTAAAAGAATGCTCATGTCGGGGACTTTCATAGTTGACTATGCTGTATGGGGTTTTCTCATTGTTGAAGGCCACATAGTTGCCTATAAATGCTTACATCCAATTCATTTGAACTTTGGTGGATTGTTGTCTCATTGGCAATCATAACACATCTCCGTATCTTTATTTTGGCATAGTACTCATACATTGTATCTCAGAAATACTTTCTTTACAGATACAAAACGTTTGAGATCCCATAAATATAATCTCTTCAAAGAATAAAATTTATTTTACAAAATGTGATCATGTTTAGGGGCCGGTATAACCACAATCTCATATTAATATCGTACTAAGAAGAACATCAATATAACTCTGTATATTTGTTTTTTGCTTTGTAGAGAGCATGTGGTCATTTTTTGTCAGTCACGAATTGATACACCATTACATTTCTTTTCATTTAGATTGTTCTTAATTAGACATATTTAAAATGTATGTTAATGTTATGATATCCACTTAAAATTATAATTGAAGAAATTCATTGTTTTACAAAAATTACGCATTAGTGAATAAAGTTAAAAGTAATTTATCCATGAATATACAGGAGCTATTGAGCACACTTTATGAGACAGAAACCAAAAAAATCCCAAAGATTGATTTAGAAATCAGCACATGGTCTTTAACAAGAAACAGCTGATAACAAAGAAAAATATATCAAACTTTAAAGCAGTTTTTAGTCAGTACATCGATAAAATTTATCGTAGTGAATTGAACATGTTGAATTATTGGGATAAGTTTTGATAAAAAATAAAACTGCCTGTCAAAATGGTTCAACACTATGATCAATATCTGAGAAAATCGGTCCCGTTTTTACGAAACTACCAAACGCAGATTTGTCTTCAACATTTAAATGCCATAAAAAAAATGTCAACACACACGATTGTTTTCATTTAGGGAATTACTAAATCACTCTTCTCTGAACATGTCGTACTAAATCAATGTGTTAAATGGCTTTTTAAACTATTTTGTAGAAGAAAGAGAAGGAAGTGGGAAAATTTAAAAATTCCGGTGTGGCTTATTTTTCATTGAAAAAATCAATGAAAGAGCTAATAGATGAAGATTTATATTTTTAATAAGTAAACCAAAAGACTGGAAATTTTTCAATTATCTTTTGTTGGGCAATACAAATGTCGGAATATGAAGATGCAATGCCATTTGATTCGGTTTTTAAATAAGACCACACCGACTAGACCGTGGTGCCCTATAATGGTAACTCTCTGTATGTCCGTCCGTCCGACCGTCAACATTTCCATATCGTTTTATAAGTCAAGGTTGCCTCATCTGTTTAATAATCTGTATGCGCAGTATGTATATCTATAAGAGGAAAATCCTTGTCGATATTTGTAATAAACTAGAGGCTCTACAGAGCCTGAATCTCTCACCTGCATCGTCAACAAAGGCCACTTTTTAGTAAAAATCATCATTAAAGGAGAATAACTCTATTAAGAGTTAACTGACAATGTTGACATATTTGTAGATCGTATCCTTTCAAGATAAGAGGCGAAAAATGCAAAAAATGTTAAAACTATCATTAAAGGGCAATTACTCCAATAATGAGTCGACTAAAAAAATTCAGCCATTTTGACTTATTTGTGGATCTTGTCTTGCTGACCATTTTTGCTAGTTAAAGTTTCTATCGTTGTAATATAGCTTTTAAGATATTAAGCAAAAAACGCAAAAAAATGGTAAAAATCTTCATTATAGGGCAATATCTCTGATAAGGAGTCAGCTGAAGAGTTCGAATACGTTGACTTCTTTCTAGATCTTGTCTTGCTGATAATTTTTGCTATCAATGTTTCTGTTTATCTTTTATAATTTTCGAGATAATTGGCAAATATGTGTAAAAATGGTAAAATTCTTTTAAATTTAACAACAATAACTCCTCTAAAAAGTTATCCGACAGTTTTGATGTAAATGAACAGTAGGTAGAGCTCAACATTAGGAACAATTATGGCCCAGTCAGATTTGTCTATTATAGCGGTTTTCAAAATAATAGGCAAAATTTGCATTTTATCCCTATTTTCTATTATATATGGCTGGCAAGGAGGGATGGGTTATCGGACACATTTTTAAAACTAGATACCCAAATAATGATTGTGGCCAAGTTTGGTTACATTTGGCCAAGCAGTTTCAGATGAAAACAAATTTGTAAAAATTAACAGACGACGACGGACGACGGACGTTGACGAACGCCGGACGCCAAGTGACACCTGGCTAAAAAGGTGGAAATTTTAGGAAAAATTTATTTGTTAAAACTTTTTAAGCTTTAGAAAATTAGAAATTTAGAAATACCTATCTGAACTACGGTTTCAAAGAAAAATTATGATGAGGTTTAAATTGCTATTTAATATCAAAATGATTCCAGTGATTTCATTTTTATAGCATGTCAAACTTTAGGGAAAATTGCGTAAACTGTGAAAAATAATATTAATTTGATATTTATGTGCTTGGATAAGAACGACAATTTGTACTTAGGTACGATACGAAGTTTCAAAAATGATTCCCAGTGTGATATTTTCCATAAACAAAAGGTTTTGATAAAAAAAATCACAAATTTTAAGAAGCTTTCTTCTGTTCTATAATTTGAACAACAATAAATTAGGTGTATTATAACATATCTCGAAATAATTCCTGATTTGAATTTGTTTCTACAACCTAGTGTGGTCCAATAACGCATATCAATGTACGTACGAACGGTCTTCACATATCGAGAATTGCGAACTTGTCGTGGGCGAAACCATCCTACACAAAAAACCGAAGTTTGGTACACATGTATTGCATTTTTAGAGAAGACCCAAAGACCACATACGTTTTGCATATTTGCAAATGCATTTAACAATATAGAATGCAAAAGTGCATGTGTTTCGATAAGTTGACTCCTGGCGGTCTTATTTTTTTAATTTGTTTATCTTGGATGTTTATTTATTTCTGCTTCTTAAGTGAAAACAGGTCTGAATTGGAGTTTATAAATAAGATATTTTTTTTATATTTTTCTATGTTGTGTTTTGTAGACTGCCGTGTTTCTTTTGGTCGTTTTTTGTTTGTTTCCATGGCGTTATTAGTCTGTCATCGACTTATGAGTTTAAATACCCATTTGGTATTTGTCGCGTCTCTTTGATGAATAAAATTGTCAATAAGTCAATGATATCCATACCTTTGAAAATTCTAAACAGAGGTTTCGACAGAATCATAATATTTTATTTACTTTTTCAAGTTTTGGATGTTTTGTTTGAAAGAAGGTTTTATCTTGGATATATATCTCATTAAAATTGGTTGACATGAGATTTTTAATATTTTAACTTATTCGGTACATTTTTGGCAAAATATTGACAAAAAATCTTTATTTACAATACGCTTGACTAATTTTCCGATTTTCTGTTTTTCGGAGATTTCATGATAAAAATCTTAGTGTATGACCTAAAATAATACTTTTTGGTCATGCAATTTTGTCAGTTGCATTTTACAATCATCATTGTTATCTTTAATATTGAGTAGCATTTGAAAAAAAATCCGGTTTTCTTCTTTCGGAGGTTTCATTATAAAATCTTAGTTTTTGTCTCAAAAGTCAATTTTTCTGGTCCTGAAATTTTGTCAGTTTCCTTATACAATGATGTTTGTGATGTTCAAACAGAGTTATATAGAAGTAAAAGATGCTTCTTCATTAATAACATAAATATTAAATATCCCCATTTTTCATTGATTTTTTTGTTTTAAGTTTAACCCACACTCATCTATTTCCATCACTTTAATCATGGTACACTTTTAGTATATAAAACTAATGACATCCTGTACACCTAAACACTCTAATAGTTTCTGCTGCAGTGTTATTGATGTATAAGCCTTTCGTGCTCATAGCCACCATCTACCGATTAAAAATAACTGTTTTCCCATGGATATTATTTTAACAATAAATTGTTGACACGGCGATATGTCTCGCCTTTATGTAATATAATAGTATAATGAAAATATGAATTAAAATGGCAATACTTTAATATGTAAACTATGTAAAACATACAAAGCCAATGACCAATGAATGATGGTGCAGGAACAACTATACTCCGTGGACATGAGACATCCCAATACTTATACAATTGCATACCAAATATCCTTATCTTATGATAAGTGGTTCCCCTTAAAATGAATTGATCTCAGCCTTTAACATGAAGCTATACAAAAGTTCCAAAGTCAATGAACCATGATTGAGGGGGCGGAACATATGATCTCCATACAAATGACACGCAGTAATTGTATTACAACTGAAATGGCCCAATACCTAACCATTAGTGAATCCCCTTAAACTGACCTGATCACAAATTGTTGACGCCGCTGACACCGGAAACATCACGCATCAGTTTCGCCTCCACTACTTCGCAGAGTGACATCAACAAAAACACAAAAAAACAAATGGGTCAAGCTACAATCTTCTAAATGAAACAATTGTCTACACACTGTATATATATGCATCACCGTTTATAAAGTATTAAAGTAATGAAAATTAATGTTGACTGTAATTTAAGGATGGTCTACAATTAAAAGGAAAATCTTACCATCACAAATCAAGGCAACATGAGTTACCGATGTTCAAATCTCGTAAACCGATCAGAAAGAGACAAATCAGGGATTACAAACAAACACTGAGGGCATCGCATGAACCAAAAAAAGGAGCAAGACTTGGTGCGTCGATAGGATAAGCGTCTCCTGCTATGCAAGCATCACCAACTATGTGAATGCACACTCGGTCAAAATGCCAAAAAGAAAATATTCAAGATAGGAATCAGACCTTCTACTTGCGGTAGTATCCTTAATCTCAAGTTCACTAGGATATATGAGATCTAAAACAAGACAATAATTTCTCTAAACGTTACGTTGGATCCATTACAAATAGTCGGCATAGCTATACTTTATATATATTGTTAAAAAATATTGATTGTATACAGAGAAGTTTT